AATCGGAACTAAACCTAAACGTTGCGTTATAGATAACCATAGGGAAGGCACGCTAACGAAATATATGTGGATACGCAAGATCGCCAACTGTTCCGCGAGGATTTCCCTCAAGACTTGAGAACCTCCGCGTTCTGCAAAACTAACACTTCTAGAGACGCGCAACACGGGAATATCATCTTTTTTGGATGCAGCTGCTACGTCACTTGCTGATGCATCCGTAAAAGCAACTGATGGTAATTTTGGCAAAAAGGGCTGTAAAACCGTATTCGTAGACAAAAGTCAGAGGAAAGTAAGTGGAGTATTCTAACCGATTTTGGTTCAGATGAACATTTTTGGGACGGTAATTTGAATACTGGTTATACCATTTGGACAACCTTATGAATGAATTTTGAGTTGTATACAGAGCCGATGGAAGACGGGATCTCATTGCATTTCTTGGATGTGTCAACCGTAAGTGGCCCAGCGAAACGAGCAAGAGAAAAATAAAAGCCACATCCATGGACAAAATAGCAAATGTAGGAATATTTTAATGCACCGAACATGCAGCTTGAATTGTTTATGGTTGTGCTGAACTCGCAATAACTTTCCAAAGGTGAACAAAATCGTGTGATATATGTGTTGCTTCTCCCAACACTGAAGCAACACTGAAATACCACCAGTTCGGTTGTGGTACGGTGATGAAAAGGACCTACTTCTACGTTAATGTGCTTCTAGACCCTAACAGCGGGTTTATCGCAAACCTACTACACTGCAGTACCGTCAAATCTAACTGCACAAAACCCTGTTTGTGAAGCACTTATGAATGATCTGAACAATATGTTCATCCCAATACACTGGAGTTTACGGCAGCGTGAACAGCAGACAGCGCAAAAGTGAAACTAAGCGGTTAAATGTTGTGACGAGATAATCCACATGATGTGTTTACATATGTATGAGCATTTAAATGTTCATCAAAAGTATTTGGAACATGCAACCTTCAACTCAAGCTTTGATCATTATCAGATTTACCCATCCACCGAGAATAATCAGCAGGTTCTGTGCTAGAGCAATACCTACAATATATAAACACTTGTTTTGGTAGCCACATAAGCACTACTTTTTGCAGGGTGTTTTACGATCACGCAACAGTTTAGTAACATTCAGCGTGACACAAGTTAATGACTGTACAAGGGTAATAGTTGTTTGTTAAAGTATTTCACAAGGGTTTTTCTCACAGATTTCCTAGGCCTAAATGAAATTGAAAAATAGAAATGTGCTGCGTTACAGGTAAAATGTGAGTCTTAACATGTTCTGTGAACTAGAACTTACTAGGAAAATAAAATGTAATAATAACGTGGTGTTGCGGTAAACTTACCACAGCTTACATATTGAGACACGCTTAAATGAACCGAGATGCTCACGTGATAAAAATACAAATCAACAGTTTGCACTTTTGAAACATACCGTTCGTTTGCGTTGGTAATCTTCTGGCTAATAGAAGTTACAACTTAAAAGGAAACCAACACCGCTCTTCTTAAATTCCTTTTATATTTCGCTAGATTTGTGGCATAATGCGTGTAACTGTTGCCTGTCGGATTGAAAAGAAACTTTTCTATATTCCAGTCGACTAAAGTGCATTGCCATCTTTAGTTGATTGATGTTGATTGATGTTATGGTTTCGTTCTAACAGCATCGGCAAATTTGGTTTAGATTATTCTGAAACTGGTAAACTTGAATAAGGTCCCGGCGAATGTCGACATATACTGCTTTACAATCCCAGAAAATATAATCAAAGCGATCAGGGAAGATGGAGAAGGCCATTGGCATTTTTGGTTGACCTTCACTGTGGGATCTCAAGAGAAGCAAAACCTTGCCTCTGTTGCAGGTGCAATTTCTGGACAGCGTGGTCCACGTGCAGTTGCACGCACACGTTAAGCATTTGTAAGATGCTTGAGGGGAAATATCGATTGAAGGCTGCACGAATAAAGTCAAAGTGTTGATTACAGTTTATCGAAGCATACTCTGGCTAGTTTGATCGGCCGATACCCTTCTGTACCGGTAGCTCTAGGTCTCGTGCTTAAGTGGCCTTTCGTAAGACGTGGCTCCCAAGCTTCTAAACACAGCGGCCAATGAAGTAAGAGAATCACCTGGCACTTAGCTACGCAATGAGGCTGGACCTTACCGTGGTGCGATGGTTTGTGTGCCTCAGCGATCCACTGAGCTATGCAGGGTGGGGCCTTTCTTGCACCAGAGCCACTCATACCAGATTGGTCAATGGTTAGAGGCCAGACAAACTCATCCTCCTGGTCCTTCAGGTTGGGGGTTGGAATGCGGTTGGCACCTTATTCCTTAAAACGGCCTCCTTGTAGCCCAACGCCAAATCCACTGCCTTGCAGTCAGGTTTTTGAACCAAAGGCTTTGGTTGAGAACCATAATCATTCTCCTGTCTAGGTCTGAGCAACTTGACAGTATCCGGCCCACGCAATACTATGAATCTTACTTCAAACAACTTCTTGATGCTCTGGCCACCGCAGAAAATAATCAACGGTGCCCTATCTGCTGCATCGAGCTACTGCTCAAGCCTTCCCCTCTTCTTATTCCCCTTCCTACGCTTTTTCACTCTTACCGTCCCCTTCCAACTTCACTTATATCCCCCATATTTTTAACTCCCGCTTTTTGGCCCTCCCCCAACCTGCTTTGCTAGGCATTGAACTTCTAATTTCTACTCACATTTGAACGCAGAGCGTTACTCCTCTCCTGTCGAAAAGCCCATGTCCAACCAAGCCGTCCATTATAGTTCATCGGCTTCCATTTGGAACCATCGAGCCTCCTCATATTGGCATGCCTCAATGTACGCACACTGCTACAAATCGGTCAACAGGCAGCACTTGCCCGAACATTGGAGATCTTCTCGATCGATATCTGCTGCTTCTCAGAGACTCACCTGCAAGACTCGAGCACTGTGCTATTTCTGCGATCTCCTTCAGGTGACGCAAGCAGTATTTTCTCATTGCGCCTATCCGGTGACGATGGAGCTTCGAGTTCGCGCGGGACTAATATATGTCTATTCATCATCGCTGCCTATTAGCCCCCAAACCCTAGCGATGATTCGGTAAAAAACAACTTCTACCGCCAAATGACCCAGCTCCCTCGCCACAGAAGAAGCACGGACACAGTTGTGATGGCGGGGGATCTGAACGCACCAGCTGGAAAGTTGTCCCCTGATGAACTGCACCTGGGCGGTCAACCCGGTTTAGGCTCCCGTAATGATAACGGTGAGCAGTTCCTTCATTTGTGGGAAGATGTTCGCTTATTTCTTGCCAGCACTAATTTCCGACACAGCACCCGCCGGAGGGTGACTTGGCGCCCACCAGCCTTGGAAACAGATCGATCACATTGCAATCGGTTACCGCTGGAGAGGCTGCATCCAGAATTGTCGCTCAATTTGGAGCACATGTGTGGACACCGATCACGCACTTGTATGTGCTGACATGCGGATGCGTTTTGGCGGACGCCCACGACGAGGATGTAAGCGCATTGCCACCAGTCAATTGACAAAGCCAGCTGTTCTGCATGCGTATCGTAGTACGCTGACATGCGAGTTGAGTAAGCGCTCACTGGAGACAACTGATGGTCACTGGTCACCTGTTCGCCAGACCTTACTAGCAGCAGGCAAGTCCTCATGTGGTATGTCTAATAAGCAACCTGGACAGTGGGTCTCTTCTCGGTCTCTGGAACTTATCGACGCTCGCCGGCATATCCCGGCTGGAAGTGAACACAATGAAACTCGCAAAGAGCTGCGGGCAAAACTCCGTGCTAGCCTGAAGAGAGACCGCGAATCTTGGTGGTCTGTTCGTGCATCAGAGATGGAAGTGGCGGCTGCCCCTGGCAACCAGCGTAAGTTGTTCCGTCTGATACGGGAAACGGGCAGCAGGAGACCTGGTGTTAGTGAAACAATTTGTGATAAGAATGGACAGCCTATCCACAGTTTGTCAAAACGTTTGGAGCGTTGGGCTGAGCATTTTTAAAAGCAATTTAGTCGACTATAAATGCTCAATTCGCCGGTCACTGATCGCCCTGCGTCGTGGGCTGTTTCTTTGGATCCACCCTCTCGCTCAGAAGTCAAACACGAGATCGGACTGTCGAAGTTGAACAAAGCCGCGGGACCCGATGCTCTTCCTCCAGCTCTTTTCAAATTCGAAGGCTCTGCTCTTGTTGATGCTTTGCATGAATTAGTAGTAAAACTGCGCAAGCAGGAGGTTGTGCCAACCGACTGGAGCCGCGTCGTTATTGTTCCCATCTTCAAAGGCGGCTCGCGCTCGGAATGCGGCAACCATAGAGGAATCAGTCTGACCTTCATCGCCTCCAAACTAAATAAATAAATAAATAAATAAATAGTATATTCTCTGTAAAACGAGACACACCTCTAAAAGGCATGATCAAATATGCATACAAGCACAGCTTCTTTGGAATATTAAAACATTTCGTTACAATGAAAGGAATAAACGAAAAGATGTAGTCCATAAGTGCGAGCATATTGTCAGGTAATAGTCAGACCAAGGATCATAATGGCGCCGTGGCGCGCAAAAACTGTTGCGTCAAGATACAAGTGGGGGGTAAATTTGACATGTAGTGATCCATGAGCACAGGAGCCCGAACAAGGTTTAGTGCAATCAATGACCATTACGAAGCCGGGATGATCGGTACTCCACTAAAGCATTCTTCATAGTAAAATCAGTTGCACAGGTTCGATGTTGGAGGCTGAGGACTGCGTCAGTGTGAAAGATATAGCAGTGACTTTATTTTGTGGCGAGTCACATCCGCCACGTTGCAGTGTTGTTAAGCGGACATTTGTGGCTTTTTATAGGGAGAACGCTTGCCAGGCGAAAACCCACCACGTCCTGGAACACTGTCGTAGCTTCCGTTGAACTGTAGTGCTAGTCGGCTATACATCGTATAGACCGATTTTGCACTCTATTATTCGCAGTCGGTTGACAGCCAAAATTTTTCGTTGGTTGGCCAAATGGCTTAGTACTGAACCGGCAATAGTTGATGAAGCCAGTCAATGATGTAAAAGAGTCGCTGAGTCGAATGATAATGATGCGGGTGAGTAACCACATTGTTAATAGAGGCCGGCTTTTTCTATTATGTTGTCCGGCTCGCAACCCGTGTTCAGCTATCCATGCTGGACTTGTCATAGGGACGGTGAGTGCAGTTGTTTCTTGTGTCTGAATATGTCCAAAACAGGAATAAATGCTATTCTCCGCGAAGTGGACAAGTATTTCCTTCAAATGTAAGTGTAATTGTCTCCATAACCAAGTGAGAGCTCCAGGAAAAATCATCGGAAAAGCCGCTTATGCGCGCGCAGTGCTGTCCGTGAAATGACATCAGAAAAGCTCCAGGTGACTGGAGAATCGGAATGTTTGAGGCAGTGAATGTAATCACGCCAGAATTGTCAGTCTCCGGTTGTGGAACAGTGGATCCATGTAATGTGAGTACGAGGCGAGCTAAACCCATTTGTTTAGACCCCGTGGTGGTAGCTTCTCCAGAATGGCGGAAAGAGCTCCATTTGGAACGATGTGTGGGTTCTTCATCTCCCGGAGTAAAGAACAAGCATGTAATCCAGCTGGCTATTGAAAGTGGGTCGACTATTCCCAGTGGATAAACCTTCTTGTTTTGGCGGATGTATCATGCACTACTATACACGGCAGAATGACTGGCGCCCGTGAAAGCCAGGTTCGTGAGGAGGAAGCCGGGTTTCGTCGTGGTCGTGGCTGCATCGACCACATCTGCGCCTTGCGTCAGTTGTTGGTGCACAGTCACACATATTGGCAGCCCACCCTAGTCGTGTTCCTCGACATCAAAAGTGCCTTCGATTCGGTTGATCGATGTGCCCTTTGGAATTGTTTACTCAGGAAAGGTGTGCCCGATAAATATGTACATATTATCCAAGCAGTATATGCGCATAACGCGGGCAGAGTGAAGGCTTACTGCAAGCTGTCGCCACCCTTCCATATCTCCAACGGTGTGAGACAAGGATGCCTGCTGTCACCTTTCCTATTCAACTTCGCTGTTGATGAAGTCATGGAGATTGCATTTGCAGGACATGACTTGGAACGTTTGGATCTGCTCCCAGGAGAACGGCTTCTTGACTTAGAGTATGCAGACGACATTGCCCTCATCTGTGACAGCTCCCAGACGTACCAAGCCGCGCTGGACAGATTAGCACTGGCTGTCGGTCGCTTCGGGCTTTGCTTTGCACCACCTAAATGCAAAGCATTCCTCTAAGAATGGCAGGGATCGACCCCTGTGCTGACCCTTGGTGGGGAGCAGCTAGAAGTCGTTCAGAACTTCAATTACTTGGGAACTTGTATCAGCGCCCTTGGGATCGAAGACGAGATTACGAACCGTATAGCGAAAGCTCGAAGTGCTTTTGCTAACTTTCGCCATCTATGGCTGCGGCGCGACATTATTCTCGCCCTGAAGGGTTGAGTGTACAATGTAGCGGTACGTTCGACCTTACTTAATCTCGTCTCAATAGTCTCTTTGTTTCTGGCTATTGTGACCTGAATGTCCAGGGATGGGCAGACTCAGCAGTCTGCTTTTCCGTCTCAGTGGTCTCTTTGCTTTTGACTGCTGTGACCCGATTGCTCAGCGATAGGCGGAATGGTCTCCTTTTTTCTGACCTCGCTCGGGCTTCTGCGATCTCACTGTTCTTGTCACTGCCGACGCAACGCTTTGTTACCCTCACCTCAAGAACTTTGCTGGTCGTGACTAATCGCAATCATCATGTCCTCTCTCATCCTTAACGTGTCCATTTCTGCCGATTCGATCCGACAAAATGCATAGCTTACTATTACGCCTTTCTCCTTATGAGTCGACTTTCTAGTCTGGTCTGAACGACCCACCTTCCAACTTCTGTGACCCTAACGACCAGGGGTCGGCAGACCAAATGGTCTGTTCATACCACGTCGGGAAATTCGCTGACTTCTTCACTCATCAATGAAAACTTTTCCTTTTCTCATTTTGTGTGCATTCCTTTTTCCACCGGTCAGGCAACTCTCCGGATCTGGCACTACTCTAGCGGCGTCCGACCAGCCTCCTGCTTTCTGACTATTTCCTTACATTCCAAACACTAACGATCTAGGCTCTGTTGCCCTGGTGCTCTGTCCCCCTTATCCTGAGACCGTTCCTCGGCATGCAACCGCCTTTTCATATAGTCACTTGCTTCCCAAACTGCTTTCTGATGACACTCATCACTTATTCCCACGTTACTTTGGAGGCCTAGCTTCAGCTTGCTGACTTACCCGGGATTGACTGTACGCTCTCCTGTCTTCTGACATCGCTCGGACTTCTGTGATCTATGCTATAGACGTTGCCGACGAAAGTCTGTTACCCTCACCGCAAGACCACCGCTGGTCAAGATTGAACCTTATTATCATGTCCCCTTTTTTCCTTAACATGTCCATTTCTGTTGATGCTCTCTGTCAGCACTTAGACTTTACTAATACGACTTTCACCCTACGAGCTGACATTCTGGGCTCGTCTCAACGATCTCGTACCTTCCGACTTCCGTGATCCTAATGAACAGAAACCGGCAGCTCCAACGGTCTGCGCACAGCACCTGGAGCATATCGTTGGCTTTCTTTTTCTTTCTCTTCTCACCCATGGAGCCTTTTTTGTACACTCTAGCCTGACTTATCTGGTTCTGGCTGTACGGTCTCCTGCCTTCTGACCTCTCTCGAACTTCTGAGTTCTAAATGATCTAGTCTCTGCAGGCGCAATGCTCGGTCTCCCCCGCCTCCAGAGCACTGCTGCTCATGATTCATCACTAGTATATCCGCTTTTATCTTTGACACTTCTATTCTGTTGACGCTCTGTTAACTTTCTGACAATTATAATACGGCTTTCTCTCCATGAGCCGATATCCTCATCTCATATCCATGGTCTCCAGCTTTCCGAATACTGAGCCCATACTTTTAAACCATCGACTGGTCCAAAGGTCTGTTCGCAACACCTCGAGATTTTTGTAGGCTCTTCCACTTCCCCTTAAGTGTCTCCTTTACGATTACATTCTTTCATTTTCGCACTCTGTCTGCCTTCCTTTATCCATTGGACGGATAACACTTCGGGTCTGGCTCCACTCTAGCTTGGTCTGACCAGTCTCCTAATTTCTGACTGTTTCCAGAAATCAGAGACGCACGTGTTCTAGGCTGTGCAGTCACAACACACCCTGTCCCTCAGCCTGAGAGCTTCGTTTGATATGCTAACGGGCTTTTTATATAGCCTCTGTAGTCCCGCAAATTTACTTTCTCGCGACATTCACTACTGTTATCCCCACTTTAATCTGACTGCCTAGCTACATCTTGCTGACTTATCCAGTCTCATCTAAACGCTCTTTTGCTTTCTGACCCCTCCCCAAACACTCCTGCTTCATCTTCAATCTTTCATCCTTTACTGATCCGTGTTCCGCTCGATTCTCGTCGTATTTCGCCACTTATGGTTTACGTGTATATGCGATATTTAAATAACAATTACATGCATAGTGGTACAATAGTTCAGGCATCGCCGCAATTGATTGACTGCATTCCTGATGCATTCCTTTCTTCTGTCTGTGTGGCTGTCTCTGTTCGTTTCCTTTTTCTCCCGAGTCTGTCACAGGTACGGCGACACGCACCCAAGGAATTGTCCTCCGTTTCGACAACAATACAAGGCACACAGTTCCTCTACCTGGAAATGAGCGGAAAATTATCAACTTTTTTACAACTTACTATCCGGACAAAACAATCAATTCTTCCGCGGCATGAACCACTGAGTCTAATTTACCGAACAATACCTCTTCCACATATCTCTTGACTGGAGGACTTTTGACTACGGAAGGCACATTCTCTTGCCAAAACAAAGCTTGAACAATCGGCCATTCTAAGCTCTTCAATCCGCTTTGACCGCTCAAATGGCCGTGGTTACCACAATCGCTAATCAATTTCACTACATACCCCGGGGGATCTGCCATTCTTTCTTCGGAACCTATCCTGTCCTCCAAGACTTCAACATATTTCAACGTATATTCTTCGAGGCTTCACGTGGTTCTGCAGATGATCAACACATCATATCCAGAAAGAATGCTTAGTTCCTGACCTACCGATCTGGAACAGGAGAGGACCCAGGCACGCAATGGCCACACGCGCAGCGCATCAGTCAGCAGAAAAATGGGACGCAACTTGACTGCGAATAACGGAGCAAAAGAACGTTCAACAAGAAACATAGCCAGTTACAACTTGCCATTCAATGGATTGGCGGCAGTGTTTCAGGAAGTGGTGGGTTTTCGCCTGGCAAGCGTTCTCCCTATAAAAAGCCACAAATGTCCGTTTAACAACACTGCAACGTGGCGAATGTGACCCGCCACCGAATAAAGTCACAGCCCATAACTTCACACTGGCAGCTCCATTAGAATCATCATACTGGATAGCTTGCTCTTCAAATATCTTCCAATGGATCACTCAGGATTCTGTATCTATTATTACTCGAGGTATGACTGCGATATAGGGCAGAGCGATTATGTCCCGATCCCACTACAACCAAATCGTTCTTTCGCATGTTCACCATCGCACAGTTACAAGCATGGACATATGAACAATTTTCTACTGTCACTACAGTTCCCATAAAATGTCTGTACAGCTGTACATACCTGAGCATGCCTCAACTGGCGTGCCTCGCATAGTCGAGAATAAATATTTATTTATTTATTTATTTATTTACTGTATGGTTGCGAAACCTGGCCCCAAGATCGGCAGACATAAAGAGGCTAGTTACGTTCGACCATCGGTGCCTTCGCAGTTTGGCTCACATCTGGTGGGAACACCGCGTGAGTAACGAGCGTGTTCGACGCCTTGTTTACGGCCTAGGAAAGGGAATGAACCGCTCATCACCATTATCTCCCGCACCAGGCTCCGATGTCTGGGCCATATGTTGCGCATGCCAGCCCACCGACTCCCTCGACTTGCGTTGTTTGCTCACCGGGGATGTGGGTGGAAGAAGAGGAGAGGTGGCCAAGCGATGACTTGGTCCAGAGGATTAAAGTCCCTCACTTCGGAGCTAGCCTCGATTGGAGCTTCACGGCTCCCTGGTTGGGGTCCAAAAGACGGTGAACACGTTTGGCTGGATACACTTACTGACCTGGCAAGGAGCCGACCTCAGTGGCGCTCCTGCTGTGAGTTTCTTTGTCCCTCCCAACCCTTTTAGCCTACCCCCCATCTACGATCGCATTTCGTATGGTAAAACATAATAAATTTGTTTGCCTAGTAGCTGGCTGGTAGCTTACCGGAAGGATGCCTATCCGGTACTGGTAGCTCAGCTGGCATGCAAATGTCGTATTTATTTTCCCTTTATGTATTGTATGTATGTATGTATTTTCTTTATGTATTGCGGTACAATAGCGGAGGTGTTTTACCACTTCTAGCTGACATGTATAATGATGATAGTGATGATGATGAGTATGTTTATTGCTGACGATTTATGAATGCAATCCAGGTGACGATGGGGAACTCGCGATCTCTTTTGCTAGAAATCAGTATCCAAGCCATGCTTCAAAGTGCCATGAGATTTTTTCTTACACGAAGCAGCAAGGTACGAGGAGTTCCCTTACACTCTGCAACCACTTGCAAATGGTTGGCAACGGATTATA